ATGGGTGTACATTGTTTTTACCCTAACTACGGAGGAGCGATTGATTGGGTCGCGCCGGCATGACAGGGTGCGACATTTCACTCTCATTCAGTTCGTTATGTTTGGTTACTGTTTGTGATTGTTTCCAACAGAATGTAGCAATTCTACTACTTTCATCATGGAACGTAGCAATACACAGTGAAGGCCATGATGAAAAAGAACCCGGATTAATTTGATAAAAACCAGCAATGAGCAGATACATGATTCCAACTCTTCTTGAGTTCAAAAGAACAAATTTGGATACATTTTGCGACATGAAATGGGATCACATTACTGACCGCATTACTACTTCTCCGTTGGTGTTAATATGAGTGCGTTGTCATCACGACTTTCAGAACTAGGTCTAATTTTGAAGAAAATTGATTGAGAGTATGTTTTCTTAGAATTTCGTATGTTCTCAAATGAATTCGCTGTAAATGTACTTCGGGCAATGCTAATGCTCGTTATTTTACAGGTTGAGAATGAGAATGTACTTACCATGCGGGGCAAGCGGAAAAGTGATTGGGAAGCAGAGGACGCACAGAACGCTGAGGGAGATGTAAAGTTCATACGCTTGGAGCTGCGTCCCGTGAAATTAATGAGAAAGTTTACCCTCCCCGCTGTTGCGAAAGTGGATGCTATTAGTGCCGCTTGCGTGGATGGTGTGTTGACGGTCACAGTGTCCAAACTACCACCTGCAAAACCAGAGTAACCGAAGACTGTTCAAATTTCTGTCGATTGAAAGCCGTAGCATGTTTGAGCGAGGTTACAGACCAGAGTCGTTGCCGAATAAGACGAGAGCTGAAGATACTTAACCCGCTTGTATTTGATGGGAGGACCCAAGGTTACCTCTTCCATATCGGTCACATTTATCAGCAACATTTTTCGAATTTTGTTGTGATTGTCGCTGAGAGACGGGGCATCAATGAAAATTCAATTTTGTTCCAGATTCTAAGCCAGCTCTTACTAAGCAGCTGGAGCCGTCAGGTTCGGAATTTAAACGGAACCTTCCCGCGGTGCCATAGCTCTACTGCACATCACACGTTGCTCTAACTTGAGAACTTCAGTCTGTTGATGGAAGTCTTGGTGGCAGAAACGACCTACTTTACATTCAGTTTCTGGGTCATGTTTTACAAGTTTCTATCCCACCAGAAGTTCTCCTTCCAGAATATTTTGGGTAACTTCATGACATGTCTGCCTACATGTATGTTTTGCTGTAACCGTTCAAGTCGTGTAGTAAAAGAGTGTTTCTCGAACCCTCAGTAACACAAAGAGATCGTCGAGCCGTTACTTTTCGACCTTATCTGGGAACCTCGCTAGGTGTTTGTTGGCATACGCAATGCAGCTCAGATTTCTTATATGTTATCAGCGCTTAGGTATATTCAGTGTGAGGGACCCCAGCAAGCCAAACATCTATGATAAGTAGATGGAAATACGATAAGCAGAGAGAGCTAGAGCGAACTTTCTACTTATTTGTGCTGCAACGGGGGGACCTGATGGCGGCGTTGTTCCATCTCCATGAGGGAGTATACAAGTTTGTCCTCACACATCACTCCGGTTTGTGAACCTATGAGAATGCCGACCTAGAGTTCAGTGATGCCTTCAACGCGGCGAAGTGAAGCCGGACGAAGCTCTTGAATTCCTGAGCATGATTGTTTAAAGACCACCTGTATGTTTCCTCGTTTTGTTTTGTTTTGTTTTGGTATTATTAGGTCGATGAGGAGACACTGGGAACTTTTTCTTTTAGATACTGTATTTGTTCCGTTGCGAAGATTGTAGCGACATTGTTTTAGGAATGCGTAGAATTGGAAGTAAAAGCTTCAGCATGTAATCCAATTTTTTTTCCAATATGCTCGGGTCAAAATGTGATTATATATATTTTTCTTTTTTGAAGCTTCAGTGAGTTATTATCTCCGTGCAGGGTTATGGTTTCACAGCGGGTAGGCCAAAATGTAACGTTCAAACCAAGAGACATGCTAGGGAATATAAGAACACAGGTATACAAACCACGTACATTCAAAAAAGAATGCACAGCCTCTAATTTATCAACAAGAAAATTGATCAACATATTTTAAAAATCAATATTAAAATACCAAATTTTGCAATCGTGGAATGTTTCAATACTATCCGTTTTATTCTTCACAGCACGTATTTTAAATGGTCAGTTTTTATTTTATTTTTTAATAGGTAACAATGCAAGTGTTCAGTTTCTTAAAAGTTCGAAAAATACATTACAGTTTTATTTTTCGCCATTTTACATTTTTTTGATATTTTAAACAACATTATGAAACTGCTTAAGCAATTTTTGTAAGGAAAATAGTATTTTTAATTTGCAGATATGAACTGCGTGTAACTGACACTTATCGCCAATATTTACACTTTCTAATATGATCTACTGTACTAATGATTTGTAAATGAAAATCTTAGTTCATGCACTCCAAACTTTACAAATAAGTTTTTGACTGTTTTTAAAACTTTAATAAATAAAATCATTAATTTGTAAAATATTTCATGAAGATACAAATGTCCAATCATTTTTGATATATTAAAAAAAGAAAATTTTGTGAGATAGATTTACTATTGTGTATGATGAAGCAATAATCAAGTGATATTCATATTCAGAATTAGTATACTCTTTGTGGTGTGCCAAAATAATCACAACCAGATATCACTTCATCTCATATCTTGCAGCTCAATACTGTTATGATAAGTGGAACATTTGACTTACTGGTACAATGGATTTGCATTAAAATCCCACAAAAATACAAGAAATAATATTTATCAAATAAAATAGAAATATGTAAATTTTATTTTATCAATTTAAAACATTTAATTGATCCGTTTGGGCTCTGTCAACACATTTTCCATTATTTCAAAATTAAAAGAATGGATTCCAGTTTTTTCTTTATATATATATATATATATATATATATATGGCACATAAATTTATGTGACACTTTATTCGTTACCCATTCACATTGCTTCTCTATTTAAATCCATGTCCACACACACACACACACCTTAGTTAATAATACATACATAACAAACGCATGTCGGTTAATAAATATTTTCACGGTAGTTTAAAGTATCTTCCTACGTTAAAATTAAACAAAAATCTATAATTGTACTTATTTATTTATTTAGGTATTAAGAGAGGAGGGTAGACAACGAGGGCCAGTGTGAACGCAGCCAGCAATCAAATTATCCACTTGAGTCAAGCAAGAGAGTTCACACCGCAGCCAGGTGGCAAGAGCAAGGGTGGTGTGAGGCCTCTCACTGGCCCCCACGTCGGATAAAGACAAGTGCTCACTGTTGTGGCTGAGGTTGCCACGTCGACAACCCCCCCCCAGTGACCATGTCAATATATGTGGTGTCTGTTGACTTTTATCATCCGCTTACTGTTCATTCATCTCTGTTCGTCATGCCTTTCTTGCAGTTACGTTCACACGTGCGTCTTGCAGCTGGAATTAGACCCACTTTTGGCTGACTAGACTGTGCTTGCACGCTGCCGGGAGCGGCAACCAACGTCGGTTGAAGTGAGCTGTGGGAAAGATAAATTCGTTTACTTTTTCTTTCTTTCGCCTTTTTGGGTTTCTTCCGATGACTTTTTTTTAACTCATGTTAATTAATCGTTCGGCCAACGAGTGAAAAATTATTGTTGTTATGGGATTATTCATACTAAAACCTTGAAAGCGTAATTTTTAGTAATAGTACAGATTTACTGTTCAGTCAAACAAAACCGTGTGGTAGTATAATTTACAAAAAGGAACAACATACAAGCTACAATAAAGTTGTTTACATTCAGTAAATGTTCTATAATTATCACTGTCTCAGATTATAATAACTTATTTATTTATTTGAGTTATAAAGTCCCATCCAAGACAATGAATATTCTCACTGAAAACACATGAGAAGAAAGACAGAAAGACAGAAAGAAAAAGAAAAGAAAAATAAACTCTGTAATTATAATTATAATAATTGATCCCTGCAGCGCAGTCATATTTCTATTTATATTTGTACCTTTTCCCTGTGAACTGATTATTGTATTCTTACTATAGCAAAAATTGTTGCATAAGACTATAAAAAATAAATTATAATGATTACCAGTATACTAATCCATTCTCTCAAATATTAATGAATATTGGTTTACTATACTAGTAATCATTATAATAATTACAATTTTAGTTTTAAATACCAGTATTCATTAATATTTGAGAGTGGAGTCTCTCCATCCCTCTGTTTACACACAAAGTAGATAACCCTGCAATCACGTACACAAATGAATATGTAAATTTTGGTAGTTTGCACACAATTCATCCAACCTGGATACAGGGGCCACATACAATATATATTCCGAAAATGTTATTTTATTTTCGTCATTCTGCGAAATGCTCTACCCCAGTACATGTGAAGAAGTTGCCATTGTACTAATGTTGGTCCAGCCCCGATGCCAAATACGAAACCACCAGAGTAGTTCTGAGGGGGTGGGGGCGACAGTTCTAATAGTTGGAATGGTCTGGTCCGAGCAAAGACTACGTGTGAATAGCCCTTTAGGCCTGGTATCATGGATAGTTGTAATGAGACAAGGTATAAGTCAAACCTGGCCTTGACCAGCTCCGATGGGAGGGAGGAGGTGTAAGTATAAAGGAAACAAACAGACAAGGCCACCGTGGTTTTCACCACGCCCGTAACCCGCGGTTATCGAATCCTTAACCCGCGGTTTTGGGGACCTTCCTCCTGCTCATATTCTTCTGCCTGTAGCCAGCCCATTTTCTCTCCCGTTCCCTTTCTCTTTCTCTTCCCAGGGCAGCGTTTTTCAAGGTCTTCGTTTTGGCGTCTTGATGCCTCACTCTCGAATCCGAAAACTTCGCGTCCGCGGGGTCTTGTTAGGAAGCAGACATAGGAATCGTTTAAGGTCAAGTTTTATGGATTGCGTTTTGACGCTGCAGTCGGAATACGAGTTTTTCGGGTAAGAGAATGAGCTGCGGTGGTGTGGTGGTTGAGGTGCATGGGAAATGGTAGTTGGGTGGGGAAGGAGTCTCGCGAGGGAGGAGTGAGGTGGTTTTCGTTTGTCGTGGTTCCTGAGTGGCGCAGTCTGGTTGCGAGAGGTGTTTTTTTTTTTTACGATTGACTCGGCCAGGTTTTTGACTGTGCGTGTTGGTAGTGGGATTGGTGAGTGGAGTTGAGCGTGCTGCTGGTTCGAGGTTTTGGTGTCCAAGGTGGTGAGGTTGCGTACAAGTTCGCGCCGTGGCGGGAATTAGGAGGTTTGGCGTGTGCAAGTTGCTTGCGTATTCTGAGCTGCCGTGGATCGTTAGTCAGAGAGGGGAGGTTCTTGATTATCGCGCTAGCAATGAGGTCTTAGTGTGGATCTTCGTTGATGATATTTTTTCATGGATGGGGAGTCGCAAGGTTTACTGATGTTTGCTTTCTGGCTCGTCGCAATTGGACATTGGCTTGTTGAACTCAGGCTGGCAGAAGCAGACCAGGGCTTGGTTTTCGTTAATAGCGCCAACGACGATAGTGAAGGGTTAATGAAGAGGCAGTTTCCCAACTTAAGCGCTGTAGGACATCTCTAGCTCATGCTGAAGAGCGTGGAACAGGGCGGCAACAGAGGGGATCCGAGCTATACCAAATGTTCATACGGAAATAGGGACTAGCGTAGCATTTTTGGGGGGGGGATTGTAGGGAGAAAAGGTTTCATAGGAGCTGGGGAAGACCTCAACAGTTGAAGGATTGTATTACATCTAAAATTTTGTAGGTAATAAGGAGGTGACAGGTAACAATCAGGACCTGGAGTGCATGTATTCTTGCGCCAGGAGCGTTCTGAAATTGGGAATGGAGCATTTTTCAAGAGTGGTGAGGTATCGTCGTTTTATCAAGGATAAAATACTGGGATTCTGTGTCGTGGGCCATTGAAAATTTTGTCTACCAACTCTATCTCTTCCTCGTGACTTATTCCTCCGGAAACCAAGGAGCAGCATCTAGCCATGTATTCTCATGTCCCGATGAGGGGTTCGGGCTTCGCTTCTTCAACAATAGTCCAAGGTAGAACATTCCTCAGCTCTTCTGCCACATCGACGTACAGAATGACGACCCCCCCCCGTACACAAAGTTTTAGATGTAACCTATCAGTCTTACCCATCAAGCAGAGACTGCTTCCTTGACTCTCTTCAACCTGTTTCATTTTGCACGTCCTAGAGCACAATTTTGAGAAGGCTCTTACTCAGTCGGCATACTCGTCTACCTGATCTCAGAATTGCTTAGTTATATCTCTTTTCCATGCCAAGTATCTTCGATGTACCCTCGTTCTGCATATTAAAACTATCGCGTCGAAAGTGTGCTAAGATAAAGTCTCTTATACATCCTGTAGGCGAGAAAAGAATCAACTCTGAGCTGTGGCACGCATGTGCGGGACCATTGGTTTCACTTCCTCCTGTGGGTAGCCAAGTGGTTTACTTCCCACAAGGTCACTCTGAGCAGGTATTGCATCCATCATGATGTTGATTTCTTGCTGTTTGTCCGTGATATTTTGTCTCTACGTGTTACAAGTCGGAGGTATCTTTAGGTAGCATTACGAAGTGCACTGTCATATTGTCTTTGCGAACAGACAAGAGAGGCCTTTACTGTAGATTTTTTTTAAATTTTTTTAATCTATATATATATATATATATATATAGAATTTAAAAATTTTGTATTTGGTTGTCGATCATATGCCCCGCTTGCTCTTGCTCTTAGTTAAAACTGCGTGAGCATGGTACTGTAACTTCTATTTTGCAAGCTGGGAGAAGGTTATCTTTTTTAGATTTTTAATTTGGTTGCATGTCTAGAATTTCATCGTCAATACTTCGAAGTGGTTGAAAGAACATGTACACTTACATGCATTCTTTAACAGGATCTGTAGCTTTTCACACGGGGTCATGGGGTTTTACAAGTATTTTTCAAATTAGCTATGGACGCTTATCTCTTCTTGTTTAATTCATGAATGTGTCGCTTCTTGTGTGATGATATCAGGTTGCAGTGTCAACTCAAAAGGAAGCTGACATTCATATTCCAAACTACCCAAACCTTCGACCACACCTCATCTGTACACTTGAAAATGTCACCCTTCATGTTGGTGTCCGTCTACCCTCGCACTCTATATGTGATGTGCCACTGTAGCTCATTTTGATTTTGTTTTCAAGAATTTGTTCTTGTTAATCTTTTTTTTTTTTTTTTTTTTTTTTTTTTTTGTAGCATGGAACCTCTAAATACTAGATTAAGCATGTCCAAAGCCTCAATTTCTTCGTCATTAAGGATTTAGCCACGAATAGGAGTCTACTCCCTCTATTAAAAAGTGAATGAAGAGGACTGGCTGAAGTTACCTTTGTACTACTTGCAGGCGGATCTTGAAACGGACGATGTTTATGCACAGATGGTTCTTATTCCAACGCAAGATCCCGTGAGTCGTAATTCTTATGTTTTTAGGGTGTTGTAACATCCTTTTTTGTGGTGTAAAAATATTCGATGTGGTCTTTGTTTCGTTCCTTCTTCTTTATTTACTCATTTGTTCTATATGACATTAGAGTTGTTAGGGGGTGATTGACATGCTTGTTGTTCCAATCGCAGGAAAAAGAAACGATGCTGCTACCAGATGTAGTTGTGCAAAATAAGCAACCGACTGAGTACTTTTGCAAGACGCTAACTGCCAGCGATACTAGTACCCATGGTGGCTTTTCAATACCTCGGCGTGCTGCTGAGAAAGTTTTTCCCACTCTGGTAACATTCTATTTCCTGCATTTTTACATCCATTTTCACCAACTTTATGTGTTGAGGAACTTAGAAACTCATGTCACTCGGATGAGAGCTGTCGATAATAACATCCAAGTAATCGGTGCTTGCAGGACTATACACAGCAGCCTCCTGCACAGGAGCTTGTAGCTCGGGACCTTCATGACCAGGATTGGCATTTCCGGCACATTTATAGAGGTGAAGATGAATCATTAACTGTGCTACTCCAAATGATCTTCATGTTGTGGCATGGTGAAATAAGTTGCAAAAAGTCCGCACATATTGAAGCTACATTGTTGCCTTGAGCAGGGCAGCCTCGGAGGCATCTTCTTACTACTGGGTGGAGCATTTTTATTAGTGCAAAGAGATTACAAGCAGGTGATGCTGTTTTGTTCATCAGGTACTTGTTTATCTGAATCTGAACCTGAACCTGAACTTTCATGATTTTTTTAGTCTTTCAATGTGTTTTTCTGTGATTGTGGGTATACTGATCGTCAGATACCATGTTGATTAGTGTGAACAGTATTCATTGAAACAACTGTCTTAGTTTTCTTTAACCGGATTTGGATTCTCCATGCAGGGACGACAAGGGTCAACTTTTGTTGGGCATAAGGCGTGCTAATAGGCTACAGACAATTATGCCATCATCAGTGCTTTCTAGTGATAGTATGCACATTGGGATACTCGCTGCTGCAAGTCATGCTGCTCAAACAAGTAGTCGTTTTACGATTTTCTACAATCCAAGGTGGGGAATAACTTCGATTTTAGACTTGCTACAGTAAGCACTGGTGATATTGATGATCACTACGAGGAAGATGCGTCATTCATTATCCTTTACCTTCGCAAAGCGACGTGTTGGGATGAACTCCAGTCTAATTGATTCCGAGAGCAATACGGTAGTGTATTAACGTCCGCAAATACGCATTATAAACCCGTTGCGTGTTGCGTGGTCTTACTTTCGAAATTATACTGCCAAAGCATTTTCGAAAATTTAAAATTGAACCAATTTCAGCACGTTTCACTTCGAATGTTTATTGGTTTTTTTGAAATCGCAGGCAAAGTCCCTCCGAGTTTGTTATTCCTTCAGCCAAGTACCAGAAGGCTGTGTATTCCACACAAATTACAGTGGGGATGCGATTTCGCATGATGTTTGAAACTGAAGAGTCTACTGTGCGACGGTATGAAATACATATTGTTTATGACTTCTTTTTTTCATCACTAGTAACCTTAAGACCTTGTAGAAGTGTTCACTCATACATTCTTTTGTTTGAATGGTGCAGGTACATGGGAACAGTCACTGGGATTGGAGATCTTGATCCTGTTAGATGGCCAAACTCACATTGGCGATCGCTGAAGGTGAGGTTCGACGTTGCGTCTCCATCTCTGAATTTTGGTGCTTTTATAAAAGCAGTAATAATGAATATTACTTTCTGCTGTTCAATTTTAGAAAGAACCAGTACCATAACTGAACATTTCTTTGCATTGTTTACGCAGGTTGGTTGGGATGAATCCACAGCTGGTGAGAGGCAGCGAAGAGTCTCACTTTGGGAAATCGAACCTCTTACCACACCTTTCCTAATTTGCCCACCTCCAATCGTATTGAGATCCAAGCGTGCACGTGGGATTCATGGTAAAGCATTAATCTCTCGTAGAAGGCCCCGTATAGTATACATTTAGTTGCTTTCTGCATAGCTGCATCAGATTTCCTGTGAGTCGCTTCAATGATATATGCTTCACATGGTAGTCGAACGACTGCTTGAAGGTGATTTTTCCTCACGCACTCAATTTTTTTTGAACTATGTTGGTGGTAATAACAATGTGTAGTCCTCAAAAGCCAAAGTGGTTTTTTCTTCGAAGTTCCGTCCGAAAACAATTGCTTTATTTTATTTTATTTTATTTTGAGTGTAGTGTGAATTTCAATATACATTCCTAGAGTAGAATGTTCTTAATGAGATGTATGGGATCCTTACAGCAGGTGAGGATGAAGATCTCGAGACATTGATGAAGAAGTCGCCGATGTGGCCCTCTCTTGGTTTCGGAACGGACTCTCCCTGGATGGGAATATTACCACAGAGACCCGGACATGGTGTTACCTCATCTCTAAATGAGTATAACCGTACACTTGCTGTAGCCGCCTCGCAGGAATTTCGAGAACCTTCTAAGCAAGTGGTAACGGAATCTATGTCCAATCCGCAAAATCTGTATCGCCAGCAGCAGTTACAAACTCAACAACACAGTCATCGGAACCCGCAGTCGATAGCACAAATAAACGATGTACCAGGCCCACTGCTGCAATTGTCGACTTCTCAAGCATCCATTGATTTGGGAAGCTCCGTCAGGCCGATTTCCAGCTACTCAGATTCGGAGATATATGTTTCATCGCCATCTCCAAGGCCCTTCTCAACTCAAGCAATGATGAGTAGAATCCCAGGCAATGTTCCAGTGAGCTCTGCTGATGGAAATCAGTTTCCCAGCTTGATGCGTACCAATCAAAATGGTCTTCCGCTTTATGGTTCAGTCACAGGGAACCACCAGGTAATTTGGCCTCTCCTTATTTGAGTTCACACCAGTTGTAATTTCAGCACTAAGGAATTACTATGTTCGCAAAATTTTGTGAGAGTTGGCTTCACTATTCACCTGGATGTTACGCTATTTGTCATCTGTGCATGAGACGTGGTGGCAGGTTGTTATTCTTTATGTTCCTACTGAATATTGTAAGACCCTTTCACTGCATGTCAGGTTTCTTCCTCATGGTTACCAACCTTGCAAAATCAAAGTCAAGCGGAGCCTCAGTCGGCATCTCCAAGGTTTCACCGAGCGGAGGCGTCCATTGGTGGTGGGGTTCCTGGTTTATATGGTCCTATCCAACATGGAGAAGCAGGTGCGCAGCATCTAGTGACATCTAGTCTTGTACATCTAGCGACATATGATTTTCGCAACAATGGAACAGATTCAGATCAGCTGCAGGCTGACCGAAGTCACCTTCTTTTTGGCGTTTCTATTGATCCAGCCCTTGATACATTTAATGGTCTTTCTTCTCCCAGTTTTGGAAAAGATAAAGATGCCGTTGGAAATAACATGGTCGCTGTGTCATTATGTCCCTCGGCTACATCAGGTGATGCTGGAATCTTGCCAAATGAAGCCTTAGATGAGAATATTATGTTGCAACGGAATGTGGGTTGGCCAGCTGTGGCGACTGCACCACCTGTGCGGTCATTCACCAAGGTTAGTGTACAACTTGGGTTTTCCTTTGTTTGCTTGAATGGTTTGGTCTGGTTCTTACATTCAATTCTCTGTTCTTCGTTATTTAGTTGCATATGGCGTCCTTATAAGTTTCTGGCATTCTCTCCAAAGTATGCTTTAATCAACTTAGATTCAAAACAGGGCCTAATTCGATTGATGTTTACTTCAGCTCTGATGTTAATTTGGAGCATCGTTAAGCTTTGGACAAAATTTAATTTATTCGACTGAAATGGAATGATGGTGAACAGGTTCATAAACTTGGATCAGTGGGGAGATCATTGGACATAAATAAATTCTCAAATTATGTTGAGCTTCGAAAGGAGCTTGCTCACATGTTTCACTTGGAGTGTCTTATGGAGGATTCTCAACAGTCGAGTTGGAAAATTGTGTTTGTTGATAATGAGAATGACACTCTTCTCCTTGGTGACGAGCCTTGGGAGTAAGTGTTTGTCTTGTATTTTCTCTGATGTTATGATTTGCGCTAGCTCTTAAGCATTTGTTGATTGATTTGATCTGTTTCTTAACCCACTCGAATTCCAATTATTGTGAGCCTGATACAAATTTCTCACTTATTTCTATTGTCGGTCAGAGTTGTGTCGCGTCTTTTCATCTCGAAGGCATTGGCTATTCTTTATTATGAAACTTTATTGTGAAGTTTGGTTGTCACTGGAATATCATCTTTGTATGCTTACTTGCAAAATTTTGACACATGCAGGGAGTTTGTGAGTTGTGTCCGCTCTATCAAAATTCTGTCACCTGCGGAAGTGGCTCAGATGAATCAGCACGTGTTAGCTGCTGTGTCAGGACAGCATCTAAGGCCATCAAACAGCAATTCGGAAGATACTCCGAGTTCCCAAGCTGGTGTGGGGGTCGTGGACCACTGAGTCAGTTCGTCCGACAATGCGAGATGAAAAGAGACTGAAGTTAATTCATTCCTGATGCCTTACAATGGCTGAGCATTTTCGGATGCTGGCTGGTCAAAAGAATTGACCAGCAGTGTACTGCAAGCTCCGAATTTGTATCGGAATGTCTTTGTAACAGTGGGAATACAGCAGCAGCTGGTCATTTCTTCAATGGACGAGAAACTGCTAAGGCCACAGCAGCAATAGAAGCCCCGAGCGGCTGAATGGAGTCCCATTTTGCGTTGGGTTGGAACTGCAGGCTTTAAGGCGTCATGGTGAAAGACTAATACATCTGAAAGGAGCTTGCTGTTGCTATATCTTTTGAGCAGATACAAAGGATCACATTATATGGTGAATAGAGTTGATCCCTCCGTGTTATCTCGTTGCTGCGAGCCTGGAGAATCCAGTCTTAGTCGCCAAGAGTTGTGACGACTAAAGACCGACAAGTAACAACTACCAGTGTGCATGCAGAATGCTGCATGCGTGCTTACAATAAACTTCACTAACAAGATTTTGAAAAGAGCTTTAAATGAATCCTGAGCTCTGATTTTGTGTAAGAGCACGGAGTTCAGTTTGGCTCTTGCGGAAGCTATTCTTTTCTGGGTTCCCTGCTAGAATCCCAAGACCCTTTATGGGCGTCTTTTACTTTTTCCCGAGTATATTGAGGCTCTGGTTTATGCCATACTCTATAGCCTGTAAAGACCTTCACTGCCGTTCTGCGTTTTTTAGCTGAAGGAACTGGTTGACTTAAGTAATCCTGAGTACATTGGTTGTCCTTCATTACGAGAGTTCAGGTACTGAAACTTCACTTCCTTGTCTGTTGGCTCGTAACACAGACCACCACGATTAGGATGTTTTTCTCCAAATTATTACATCTAAGGTCTACTGTCTTCTGTGCAGGGCCTAGAACAGCGTGAATAATATATGTATTCTTGTACATTCAAAAGTTTTGGACGTTGAGGGTTGCAGACAATCTTGAAGTTTTTCCGATGTAGTTTTCCTATTCGTTCAGCTGATCTCAAAGCTTCAATAAGTTCTGTGAATCTTTCAGTTTTTTAAGTTTCTATTTTTACATACTTACTTTGTACTACCTGTTGTATGCCCATTTTTCTGGATTTACTATTGCGTCCAGTTCACGTGCTCTATGATTCGCTGGAATAAATCTGTGTGTTTCAGAATGCAGATGCACCTCCACCATGTAACCTCATCCAAGTTTAAAATGTTCTGATCTTTCCTCAAAGAGAATGTCTTGCTGGCTCATGCACAAAACATGGATACTGTTTGATTTTTTTTTTTTTTTTTTTTTTTTTTTTTTTTTCTTTTTGTCTTGTTTTGTTAACGTTTTGCATTTTCTCATTATTTTTTTCCTAATTATTTCTAAATTTTAATTTTACATGCATCAAAAAATTTAATCATGAAGTTCAGTATGCTTTTCATTAATGAAGTCACTTCCATTGCCATTGAAAAAACTAGACGAATTATCAGAAGCTAGCAGTATTACTTAATAATTTAGTTACAAAAATCTTGAGAACTAAAAAAATGCAGTTGACTATTCAATTTTTATTTCATTTCTGGTTATAGTATCTTAGCAATAGATTTTGATAAAAATTTTCATCCTAATTAATTTCATTTCAACAAATGTTTTTATTTTGTTTTAACAAGTGCATATATATATATATATATATATATATATGTATATGGACTTGTTATAGCCACACTTCATTCAAATTGTATTGGTCCTACGTCCCTGATCTCGTTCTCATTCTACATCTCTCCTTCCCCATTCTTGTACCTTGTTCTCAACCATAGTTTTTGTCCCAACCCCACTATCCCATTCCAACCCCCCCTATCCTAACCCCATCCAAGTCGCCACTTCCTATTCCCATCTTTCCCAACCCAATACCTCTGTTTCCAATTTATTATAAATATGTGTAATTAAAAACTAATATTTAACTATGTGTATAAAATTAATTATTAAAACAAAACATAATACATATAAATATTATTTATATGTATATATGTACATTTTACTACAAAATATTAATAAGATATCATTTATATTTTAGCAAAAAAAAAAAAAAAAAAAAAAAAAACCAAAAAACTACTATACTTTGTTAATTTGAGATGTGAATTTCACTTTTAGCTAATTTATCCAAAAGTCTAGTTTTATTATATTACAAAGAATATTTTATCACAAAATTTATAATAAATTGGAAATGGAGGTAGAGTTGAGGTCAAGGAGGGTGGAGACATGGGATGGGAGATGGGATGGTAGAGTTGAGGCAAGGATTGTGGCTGAGAATGAGATATTGGGATAGAAAATAGAAGACATGAGATGAAAACAAGGTTAGATATATGGAACTAGTACAATTTGAATCATTTAGTGGAAAAAAGATGAGGCTTTAATGAGTTTATATATATATATATATATATATATACATATTATTCTATTCTTCTGTTTTCATGTTAGATTATACAAGAGGAATAAAAAACATATCTATATAATAAAACATTGTAGGTATGAGAAGTCTTTTTATTAGCTAAAATCAAATAAATTATTGCTATTACTACTAATAAAAAGTCTTATATTATTGTGTTTTGAATTATTGAAGAGATTATTGAAGTGGTGGATTGTTGCATGGGAACTTGAAAAATTAGGAAGTGAGACGAGGTTTTTGAGTTGATTGATAGAATGGATTTTGTAAGAAGAGAGGACAACAAAGGTAGATGAATATTTTCTTCTTTTGATGATAGTATTGGTTGCACCAATTTTGGTGGAGAAGTAGAAGATAAAAAAATAAATGAATCTCTTAACTTGAAAATGAATCCTAATGATGTGAACAACAAATGAATCAATACTAATTCTTTTAATGGATTTTAAAGCTAAGCTTTTGTATAAGAGTTAAGAGTTTTTTTTTTTTTTTTTTTTTTTTTTTTTAAATTTTGAAGCATATTTCTATTCTTAGACCTGGCTTGAATATGTTATCTTTGTGGGTATATTATTTGTGTACTTGACAAATAGGTACCAAGTTGAAAGAGCAATTAGTACTGCAGAGAGGAATTGAAATATAAGTGGACAAAAGATGCTGAAATTAGGCGTCTTATTTCTTTAAAAAGGCAGCATCTCCAAAAAAAACTACTACCAAGAATGGATGATCAAAGTGCACATGAAATGGGACTTAATTCTCTTAAAGATCTAATACTCTTCTAATCTATAATAACATAAATTCCATTACAAAGTAGGACAAAACAAACTAGAACTAAACAAAATTGAACATGAAAGACATGAAAGAGCAAAAAGAAATAGAATAGAACAAAATAGAAAATGCAAACCAAACTTTATTGAGAAAAAAGGACCAAAGTCATATCTAATCGAATATCCCAAATGGCCTCAATCAATCCTATTTATAATTTATTCAACCATCTTGGAACTTTCTAGAATATTTCTAATGATAGATCCTACTAAAATAACTATATTTTTAGAAGATTCTAAAAATGGACCCCATTTAGATAATTATCCTTACTTCTTTTAGGATGTTTTATGGTCGGCTCTATATAGACCACCAACTTGGCTCGAATTCTAAAAACTTTTCAAAAATGGCCCCAATTACCTATCTCTATATGTCAATAATACAATTATCTTATCCATGCCCCCGTTACAATTAATCTTCCTCTATTAATGCATAACATCCTTGTTTTATGCTCAATGGTATCTTTAAATTGTTTCTTGATAGTGGATGAGGTTCTATACAAGTTTTCACATTGTACCATGGATGGGATAGTCTTTTCAAAGGATCTTGTATTGAAGTTGCAGATGTCCATTACCATGATAAAGGAAGCAATGCTCCAAAATGCTACCTACATATTCTTGTTGGTCATCAATCACAATCAATGGTGTTGGTTTGAGAAGCACTTTTGTTCAATATGAAATTCTTTGAGCTGAAAAACATAAAAGATTAAATGGACTCAAATATGTGACAAAAACTTGAGGTAGTATGCAACTTCAAAAATTACTCCAAAAATGCGAAAAGATCCAAGCTACCAAAATACTAGCTTATGGACTTGGATTGATGTAGCAAGTAGAAAGTTGGCATTAAAGAGTAATACCTAGTCACCCTCTTGAAAGGTCTTATGTTGCCAATGGTTATTTGCATATTACTTTTATTTATTCTGTGTAGTAAGGAGGCAATATCGTACTTCTTATAAGACAAGTATAAGTAGTTGTATAAACTCTTTTGTTGTTAGGTTATTCGTATCAATAAGATAAATGGAAAGTTGCTAGCATAATTGGATGCTGACTAGTGTTAAAGAAGAATAGTCAATGATCAATACTTATTCAAATACTATCATTATAAGCAAACTCAAAAGATGTCAAAACTTCATCTCAATCATCATAATAAATTATCACAAATATCCGTAGCATGTTCTTCAAGGTCCAATTTGCACACTCCATTTATCCATCTATTTGAGGATATAAGGCCAAGACATGGCAAGTTGTGTGCCTAGTAGCTTGAATAAGGCCTACCAAAAATTCTCCATAAAGAGTGGATCTCAATCTAAAACGATGACATGAAGTAATCCATGGTGATAAAAGATAGTGCCAAAGAAGACTTATATAAGTGTTAGAGCATCAATATGAAGTTGCACTATAGCCTAGTGAAGTTGCTTCAAGAGTTGATCCACAAAGACAACAACAATGGTATGATTATGAGGTGTCTACGGCAAATATATAATAAAAGACATGATGACTTACTCCCAATATGTCGTAGATAGTGAAATTGGCTACAATAGCCCAAAAGATATCATATTACATACTTTGTTATGTTGACATGACTCAGAAGAGCATACAAAAGTTTAAACAAGAGAATTCAAATCTATCCAAAATCATGTCTTTGACATTTGTTCTATAGTTTTTCATGCATTAGATGCCTAAACATTAAAATGGCATATCTTTCTTAAAATATGTGCATCCAAAGTATAGCATCATCAAGTATATAAATCTCCTTCTTGAAATAGATCAAGCCATCACTAAGACTATAATCTTGATACTATACATTATCTACCTTGAGCCGATTATTAACCATCTTATAATAAGCATGCCAATACATAGCTTCTTTCGATTTTGTTTCTTTGGTTAGGTTTGAAATGACACTACTGATAGTAGCATCTTTTGCCTTATCTTCCAATTCGGCCTTCAAGTCTAGTCTCCATGATAAGCTATCCAATACAGTATGTTGTTGCTCTTGCTTGTATCTAAGCTGAAATATTGAAAAGCTACATTTTTTCTTCCCAATAATGATATCATGATTTTATATTTTCAAAATAAAAATCATATAGTAAGGATTGAGTCTGAACAATCACAAGCTTCTCTAATAGATAGTATCACCATAATTTTGTGGCATGTACAATCACTCATTGCTCTTGATTACTTGCAAAGTAATTGCGCTTTGTCCTTCTGTGCTTATGTGATTCATACGCTATGAATTGAAGGCTCTTATTAAATTTTTTTTGAAGGATTACGCCAATAGCAAAGTCAGAAGCATCAATGTCAAATATACAAGGAATATTGAGATTATATAGTTACAATATTAAAGCAGTAATGAGTGTCTCCTTCAACCTATTAAAGGCACTTTGTTGCTCTAGTTTCCATTCAAATGGGGCATCTTTCTATAATAGGCTTGTTAATGAGGTAGCAATGTGTGCAAATTGCCAAATAAAATGGCAATAATATTTTGCAAGGCCTAAAAATGAGCAGACTTTAAAAGCATCCTTGGTGGTTCGCTAATTTTCTATTGCTTTCACCTTATACTACTCAATATTCATGTTCTTAGAGGAAACTATATGTTCCAAAAAGGTGACCTTTGACTTCCAATGTTTAGACTTTGATTGCTTGCAATAGAAGCAATTATCTTATAGTCGGCATAACACTACCTATAGGTGTTGCTCATGCTCTTTAAGAATTTTACCATAGACTAAAATATCATCAATGAAGACAACTACATACTTATTCAAAAGGTCTTGATACAATCTATTCATATGACCTATGAAGGAAGTTGAAACATTGGCAAGGCCAAAA